AATTTTAGTTTTAATTTATATTTTTAGATGTCTTAGGGTGAGCTGCCAAATTTTATAATGTTTCTTTGTTTCATCTATCGTAAAAGCCTAGCCAGTTTGTCACCTTATTGTATCGTCACTTATAGAACATGTGGTACATAAAATTTCTCCAAATTTAAGAAAATAAAAAAAAGTAATGCATCAATGTCAACAACAGCAACAGCAGCAATAAAAATGAAAATAGAGAAAGTATAACTGCAGGGAAGGTTCAATATGGTAGAACATCCCAACAGCATGGGCAAAGATTATAATGGTGTTAGTTCAGAGAAATATTAGACGTTAACTTTGTCTTTGCTCATGCTTTATAATTCGATCTTGTTCATTGTTACTCATTTATGTGTGGCAATTGTTTGAAATACAGTGTAAGACAAATGAATCTTTGTTTCATGGTTACTCATGATGCTACTATGTATATAATTTCTTTATCACACAGAAAGAAAGAAAAGTTATGCATCCAGTGTTGGTAAAAGTTTACCTTTACATTCACCAAATCCTACTCGGAATGAATCTCCTTCACAGAATCCTGAAAAAAAAAATAATGATTGTATTAAATTGAAAAATAGTATTCCCTCAAAAATGTTTCTGTTTAAATCAATTCAACTTGCCTCTTAAAATAACTTCATCATTGTCCTGCAAGAACTTGCGAGTACTGCCATCTCCTAGACGAATTGGTTTTGTTCCCTTCCAGCTGAGTTCCAGCATTGATCCAAAAGAGTCTGATGCCTGTTTCACCGTATGAAAGTAATATTGAGAATGGGAAATTTTGATCATGGTTAAATTATGAACCATTTTTGATAAAGTGCAAAGTATGTGTTGTAACCCGTGTGGACGGGGAACTAATAGAAGAGGGTTACAACAGAAGGTTTTGGTTAACCAGCACTAGATTACAAGAAATGAACAGCTCATGTCTTACCATTCCACTTATGGTTCCAGATGCCATCAGGTCACCAGGGTTGATGTTGCAGCCTGTGACTGTATGATGTGCAAGCTGTTGCTTAGGTGTCCAGTACATATATTTGTAATTTGAGCGACTCACAGTTGTTGGCAGTCCATTTTCAGCTGAAAATAAAAATTTAACATTTTGAATGTCGTCACCTTCCCGAGCCCAAGGAAAACGTGGTTCTCTCTTTATGTCAAAATGAGGTCTCCGTGAGAAAAACGTTTTTCTTGGGTGTTTGTGAGTAGCAAATGAGACGGATAGGCAAAATGACTTAAACTTACGCTTAATGTCCACGATTAAGTTAATATCGAAATTATATTTATCATCATGTTGCAAGTAAGGAAATGGTTTGGGATCCTGTGGGAAATTATCAACAGCGAACGGCATAAGGGCTTCCATAGTTACCACCCATGGAGAAATGGTAGTGCCTAAGTTCTTGGCACCGAATGGTCCAAGGGGTACGTACTCCCATTTTTGAATATCACGAGCTATAAAAAAATAGAGCAAATGTTAGAATTAACAGATACGGGGTTGGTACGAATGAAGTTAGCGAGTCGCGGACGCACCGCTCCAGTCGTTCATGAGGACCATCCCGAAGATGTGCTCGTGAGCCTTGCTCGCTGGGACGGTCGAGCCCAGTTGTGTCGGGGGGCCCCCGACAAAAATGGCCACTTCTAGCTCGAAGTCCATGAGACGACATGGCCCGAACACCGGGTCCGCCTCCTCCACGGGCTGTGTCTGACCCTTGGGCCTCCGGATTGGGGTGCCGGACACCACGACGGATGACGCGCGCCCATGGTACCCGACCGGAAGGTGCTTCCTGGGCGCGAATATCAGACGATGAAAACATGTAGGTATCTCGGTTGAAGTTTGCATCTGGCTGTGTTATCCCCTGACTCACCAGTTCGGCATCAACGCCTTCTCCTTGCTCCTGAACATGATGCCCACGTTGGTCGCATGGTATATCGACGAGTAAAAATCAGTGTAGTCGCCAATGTGTGCGGGGAGGTGCATCGTAGCCTGCCCTTGGGGCACCAGGGCCCTGCGGAGAGAAGAGGAGAAATGAGAGCGACTGCCATGGGGAGGGTTCACTGGCCCGGCGCGACCGAGAAAGTCCAGGGGAAGCGGATAAGTGCAAGTGGCAGAGAAGTCCATGTGAAAGGGAAGTCCAAGTGACAGGGAAGTCCCACTAAAAGGGAAGTCCTACTAAAAGGGAAGTCCAAGTGGTAGGGAAGTAAGTGGCAGGGAAGTCCAAGTGACAGGGAAGTCCAAGTGACAGGGAAGTCCAAGTGACAGGGAAGTCCTGTAGCGATAGGGAAGTCCAAGGGGCTGGGAAGTTCACCGCAGGGGGAAGTCCACTGGAGAGGGAATCCTACTCTCCAAACGGGTCACATGATCGGTGCTCACCTAGCTCTGAGCTCAGCGTTGCCTTGGAGTGCAGTGTCATCCTTGCTGAGAATCTTCTGCAGCGTGCTGCGGGTCTCCAGCCAGTAGGGCCGGCCAAGGGACATGAACGCGTTCAGCGTCGACTGGAACAAAGGGTTTGTTTCTTCCCTCGTAAATAAGCGTCATGCCTATCCCCCACCTCCTTCGGGGACGGGGAGGGGGGGGGGAGGCTCCATTTGACTTATCATTCTGTTTACTCGGATTTCGACTTGGATTCAGACCGGAGCGGCCAAGGTCGAGCCTCCTGGCCTGGAGCCAGCCATGTAAAACAGTTGTTGTGTTCGGCCCGCTACCCGTGTGATAGAGTGTACGAGAGAGAAATAGAGAGAGAGAGGGAGGGAGGACGCGTCGAGGTGGTGACGGTTGGGACCCTCGGCGCCGGGTCGGGTTGACCCGTTGTCAAGCCGGCCAGGTCCGGGTGTCCTTGGCTCACGCGCTGGAAGCCCATTGGCCGGCGAGTGCCGAGCCCCCAGCGCTCCACCACACGTGGAAGGTGTTGTGATGCAGCCGGCCCCAGGCCCGGGGGGCGGCGCCGTCCCCTGACGTCCCCCCAGCCGCACCTAGGGCCTGGGGTCGCCTTCACGACGACGCGGTGCCCTCGACCCCCTGGCGCACAGGCAACCCAACTCACAGCTGCGCCGGTGCGCAACGACACTGCGCCTCGCTGCGCCCCCACGCGGCCGCCGCCTTGCCCTCCTCGCCCTTGCCCGCCAGCGACACTCCGCCGGGGCCGGACCGGGTCAAAGGCGCAGAGGAGGTACGGCCTGGTCGAGCAGAGGGCCCCCGGGTGGTGACTTACCTCGGCGAACACCTCCTGCCGGCCCTTCATGAGCGGGCCGGTGAACAGATGGCGGACGGCCTTCAGGTCCAGGATCTGGTCGCCAATCGCCACGCCGATCCGGGGAGTCACCTAAGAAAACAATGTATCATGTATTGAGTGTAGCAGGTTCAGTCTCGGTTTGAGAGTATGAGAGGCGGCACGACCGAGGTACGGCACGGGTGACACTTGTTGTCGCCGTCGCCGTCATTCCCTCTGCGATCTATCCGGCGGGCTAGTTAAGTTCACTCACATCACCGGGCGTGGAGAACACGCCGTACGGCAAGTTCTGGATCGGGAAGTCGCAGCTGGCGTCGTACTGGATGAAGCTCTCCATGGCGGCGCAGGTGTCGCCCGGTTGCGGTCGGACGGTGTACTGGAGGAGGAGGTAGAGTACGGCGACGGGGACAGCCGCTAGGGGCGCGGACGGGCTGACCGTGTCGGTGGGCTCCGCGGGGCTGCGCCTGCGGTCGGTGTCAGACTACTGGCAGCTACCCGGGCGGACGGCGGCGTGTAGAGTCTCCCACCGCGACTCGTCCCGGTGTGTGTGTTGTGTCCGCCCGTCCGTTTCTTTCCTGCTCCGTGGTTTTGTTTATCAGGGGCCGGCTGGGCTGGGTGGCGTGACGCGCGTGGTGGCGCGCCAGGCCGCATGGTGGCGCCACCTGCGCGTCCGGCCCACCCGCCGGCCCCGCGGCTCTACCCCTTGCGGGGAGGGACGCTAGGCAGGGGGAAGGACCGCGGCGGCCGGGAAAATAACTCACAAAGCTGTTTCAACTTTTCCTGTTTTAATGTTTTTATTACTTTTTGTTGCGGCGTTACATTTGCTCACTCCCACTGCAGAGGGAGATAAAGGACTCCAACCCGTTCTATATGTCTATGATGGGTGACTGACAGAAAATAGGGAGTTTACAAAGGCATTCAGATCTAACTTTCTTTCCGTTTCTTCGCAGAGGACGCCACTTACATAGAGTTTTACTTTTATATGGTTATGAACAGCGGTTTGGTTACATAGACACATATTGCGTGATATGTTATAACATATATTTTTTGAGATTTCTATGCATTTTTAAGACACTCATTTCGCACAATTATGATTCCGATCCGAAAACAATTGACCTACATAATTGAACGCACACTCACCGTACAGCGAGTTCGGCATATGTGCGATTTTAATTGATTCTGCGTTTCAAATTGACTCGAGCGACTGGAGCAGTCGACTCTCTACCTATGACTTTGGCTGAAAAAGGGGCGTCTAGCAGCCTGCTAGTGGCATCGTCTCTCACCGCCATGGCACTCAAACATTCTACATACTTTCAAATAAAATATTCACATCAATATGTACACAAAACGTCACAAAAATATATGTACAAGTGTTGCCACCTTATACGTCTCTACGATCAGCTAACATCGGCTAGTACGCTTCCGAGGCAGGGGTCTCCAGAGGGCAAGGGTTCCGTCCGATACTCATGCGCTTGTGTTGTGTAGTTTTTGACCTCGTTCAAAACAGCGGGTCACAAGTGCTGACACTTGGACGGTATTAGCCAATCGTATGCATTTACGTGGATGGCCGTCAAATAAAAGAAAGCCGTACCAACACAGTGAAGGAAAGTTTAGTAGACCCACTATCGCGTGGAACAACTTATTGCATGCTACACATTTGCCTTGTATTAACTGAAGGCAGCCTGAGACATACTCAATATATTTTTAAAAGATATTTACCTACATTAAAAATAAAATCAAGAAATAAACCGTCTGAAAGCGGCAACGCAAAAATAAAGGTGATTTAGGAGCCCGCCTTTCTTTAAAGTCCAATCATATATATCGCCTCTCCACTCTAGATAAAGCATAAAATATCTGATTCAACCAACACATTATAAATTGTTTATGTTTAACGACAATATCACGATAATGGAATTGATATCATAATTGATGTTGAGGAGTGTTCCAGGACGCAGAGAAAGGGCGGAAGAAGAAATGGACGACATAGGAGAAACAAAATACGAATCTTCTTCTCGGTTCTTCCCCGCCCTTTCTTCGTCCGTCCATGCAAAATACACACTTAATTTACGGAAAAAATCGTGACGATAGCAACAAGTAAGTAGCCTACTAGCATTAACGACAGGCTGGAGCTCTGCCCCGGCCGGGTCGCGGCCCTCACCTCCCGGACTAACGTCTATCCACGGCATCGCCAATTCCAGCGAGGCTCAAAGAACACTCTGGCAGGACGCCTGCTACTTTCTACGTCATTAACAATTTGACATAATGGGAGCTTTTCGTACTCGAACGTATTTCCACAACGGTTCAAACCACTCTTCACATTCTCAATTACCTTAACTTATTAAATCAATATCAAAGGAACTGGCAATCTGAGTAGTTCGAAGAAAAAATAAATAATAATGTAGCTCTTTGCTTTACATAAAATAAACATCATTTTGTTACGTACTTTCACAAAATAGTTACAATACTTAAATTGCCTGACAAATAAAAAATAAATAGCAGTATTATAGTTTTTTCTTCATTATTTTTGTGGCTTCAAATTTTTGTACCCAGGTTACAGTACCTGTCGTCTGCAGTCTTGCTCTTTGATCGGGTCCGCTTCGCAAATTTGTTTACGACCCTAACCGGTCCACATATTTACAAGAAATAGTCCAAGGGTTGCACCAAGCAGAGACACTAAAAGACGGTGAGGCAAGACTACGACATTCAATAATTTTTTTTCTCCTACTCTAATAAAAATTCTAGCCGACAACATTGACTACTGTAGGTCTGCGGTGGAGTCCCACGGTCTATCAGACCCATGTCGGCTCCAAAAATGCTACTAACATCGAGAGCAATATGTCAGGTATCGCTCAGCAAGCTGTCAGCTGACTGCCTTGCGTCTCATTACTCAGACTGCGCATGCGCAGAACGCGACGCAAACTTCCCCGCGGGGATAAAACAACGACAAAAACGAAAAACACGTTATTATTCTTTTGCCACAGCCAGTCATCATATAGTGTAAGTATAACATCATATAAACTCATAAATGGAAACTCATTTTTTTCTTTTCTTATTCTTCCCCAATTTCTTACAGTAAGTACAACAATTTTAGACCCTGGCCACTAGAATGGCGGGGTTCGGAATTAGTTAGTATCGGAGGGCGCTACAGACCGAACCGTCTACAGGTCGTGTCCCAGGCGGTCCATCTCGTTCAGCAGGAAGTCCACGTCGGCGTAGGTGACGGCCGCGGACGAGATGATGTTCCGGAAGAAGTTGGGCCTGTGGTCCAGGGGCTGGTAGCCCACCATGAGAGTGCCGGACTGCATCATGCGGCTCTTGAGCACCGGCGCGATCTGCAAACAAGGGTCTCTTGAGCGAGCGCCAAGTCCCCCGCCAGGTGGAAGGCGCCCGGTGGGTAGGCCGCCCGGCGCGCTGCCCTGGCGAGGGGGCCGGCGAGGTGCCTACCCTCCACCCGGCGGGCGCGCCGTGCGGCAGCAGCGACTGAGGGGTACTTCACTAGAAATTTTAAGCGTTCACAGATTTTGCTATTTCTTCTGGATTTTCTCGTTTTAAAAAAAAATATGCTCTCTTTACTTTTGATTTTTCCGGATTTTCTTTGTTTTTGATTTTTGAAGGGTATACACTAATTTTTCGAGTGAAGTACCCCTTGGCAGCGACCGCCTGATGGCTACACGTACCTCTCCGCAGAGCTTCTCCCTCTCGGGCCCGGCGGGCATGGAGCGCAGCCTGGTGGGCACGTACCAGAAGCTCACGTTCACCATCTCCGGCTCCAACATGAGCTCGAACTTGTCGGGCTGCTCCTTGATGCGGCGCACCATGTAGGCGGCCATGTCCATCAGGGTGTCCATGTGCTTCTCGAAGCCCTCGTCTCCCTGCAAGGGAGCAAAAGGCGATATTATTTGATTCTCACGCTCATTTTGCCCGCCATAAACGTTCAGAACAGCGCGCGGGATATTTAAAAAACAACAACAACAAACGACGCGCACCTTTGCCCGCCACTGCAGCCACAGCTTGAAGATGTCATTGTGGCGACCGCACTGGATGACCTTGTCGCCCGTGTCATAGCTCGTGTCGTACAGCTTGTCCTGCATGAACAGGTACTCGGCGCTCATCTGGTTGCAGCTGATCAGCAGGCCCTGGCCGGAACAACAACAAACGTTCAATTAACCGATTGCGTATACGGGCGGTATTGTTGGAATGCAAATGGGCCCGCACAGCTCAGTCCCCCCGGCGGACCGTTTTGATAGATTTTTTCTCTCCCTCCCAAACTCCTCCTCTCCCCTCCCAGCCCCGTCTCCTCCTCCCCTCCCCTCCCAGCAGCGTCCCCTCCTCCCCTCCCCGGCCGTTGCCAGCATCTGCTGCCGCGCAGGCTGCCGCGGGAGGGTTGCATGCGTGGCGTGGCGCTGTGGAGGGGGAGGGAAGTCGGGCCGCCGGAGTCTGGAGCGCTGGAGCGGCCCGCCCCGCTCCCCATCAGCTTGTCCAGAACGCTGCTGGAATGCTGCTTATTGCATTCCTGCACCACCCTCCTCCAAGCGCCGCCAACGTCATGAGCTAAAAGTGTAGTTTTTTCTTGTCTCTGTTTTATTCTTGTTGTTGTTATATATCGTTAACATCCCGCCCTCCGCACACTACTGAGACGTGTGTCAAAACTAAAACATGAATTCTGTGAAATTTGTCAGGCAAAAAATTATACACAAATTGTCCTTAAAATAACCATCAAAAACAACAACAACAACAACAAAACAAGCAGAAAAACACTGCGAACTTATTCTTTTGTGATATATTACTTACGTCCTCCTTGAAGTGGATGGTGGAGCACTGCAGCAGCGTGCCCATCAGCTTGTGCGGGTTCCAGGTCACCGAGTCGGCCCTGCGGACATGACAACGGGCACGGCGGCGTGAGCCTACGGCAGCCTCGACGGCAAGCCTCGACGGCAGCCGGCAGCTCCGGACGCGCAAATCGGTCTGTGGCGGGCGAGATAAGCCAAAGGGTTGCGGGGGAGGGAGGCTTCGCATTAATATGGAACAGGAGCAGTGGTGTTGTCTGATGTTGTCTTTCAATCTGCTCCCCACAGATTACCCACCAGGGGGCTCGGCAGGGGTGGCCATCCGGGCGTGGCGGGGCGGGGC